ACAGGGTATCATTTTCATCATTAAGTGTGTCAGGTTATCAGATGCCGTATTTATGTACTGATTTCCATTTTCTTTTCAAAGTTTGGTTATTCCCTTATGTTCTGTAGTCAAATAAAACAATGATATGCTAAAACGAAGGCTCTGTGAGGTGAATGACAATTTAATTTTCCCCCAGTGTTGGCTGGTTGCACAAGAAAATAAAGAATGAAGGAAGTTGACAGGATCTTTAGTTGACTAGATTTATTTCCCAGCAGTTGCAGGGTGTGTTAATTGTAACATTTCAGTTAATGAAAAATATTGTGAGAGAACACTGATGTGGGTGATAAACAGACTTTTGAATAGATATGATGGTAAAATGCTATTTTTAAAAAATTGGGAGGAAACAGTCAGAATTCTTTTGTTGCTCGGACCATTCTAGTGAGTAAATTGGGCTTCCAGGGAGGGCAATAATTCTTTCATGTCGCCAAGCTTCTCTCATCATCATAATTATTCAGGTGGTGTTACTCCAACTGCTATTCAACCTAAATATGGTCCTTGATCTATAGAAAGCTTACACGCTAAACTGCGAAAAAAAGAGACGAGAAACAGAAACATTGACATACCAGAAAGAGCAAACTCACTCTGTTACACTAACCATTACACTAATGGTTCTTGTAGATAAATTCTTTTATTAAAGTGTAACATACCCATAGAAAAGTGCACAAATAACAAACGTACAGCTTAATGAAGGATCCCATTGTGACCGCAACCACCACCTGGGCCAAGAATACAAGCTTCCCTTACTCCTCCTCCTAATCCTGACTCTCTCGGATGGGGACTTCGAACACTACTGGTTAGAACTTTGTGTGAATGGAATTATACAATACGTATTTTTCAGTTGTCTAGCTTCTTTCCCTGAATATTACATTGGTAAAATTCATGCACATTTTTGAGTGTAAATAGTATTCCACTGTGTGAATACATTACAACTTACTTATGCTTCCTACTATTGGAGGAGATGGGATTGTTTCCAATTTGGGGCCATGATGAATGCGTTTATGTTGGGAGGAAAACCTTTTTCCTCTTCCAGCTTGGGTACAGTGTTTGGGGACCTGCAAATTAACTTACAATAGTCATATTAACAGGAGAAAAGACAGTTTATTTACACATGCACATGGGAGTTGCTCGTAATAAGTAACTCACTGAATAGCCAGAGATAAAAGTTTATATACCAACTTAACAAAGGAGGGTGGGGTTAGGTCTTCAATGGGAAAGTATGGAAGCTTCTATTGGGTTTTTTGATGTTAATGGGAATGGGCAGTCTGTCTTCATAGCAGCCGAATGGCAGCTGTACATTGGGAGGTTCTGCTTCAGTCAGATAAGGGAAGTTCAGATAAGACTTCTTTCTGCATCTTCTGGAGCTCAAATATTTTCACTGTAAAAATAATCTTTGTATCAGCTCTGGGGGTCTGAATGGGTCCCCACAGTTTATATATGTTTTTGGGTGCATAAATGTATGCGTTCTACTGGCCATATATCTAGGAGGGTAACTGCTGGGTAAAAGGAAATGGTACGTTCAACTTATGTAGATGCTGTCAAAACAGTTTTCTGAAGTAGTTTTATCAATTTATACTCCTACCAGCTGTTTTTGAGCATTCTGGTTCCTCCATCCTCACTAAAATTATTGATATTTTATATTTAGCCATTGTGACGGGGTGTAGTGGAGTCACAATGTACTTTTAACTTGTATTTCTCTGATTTTTTTAGTGACTCTGTGCACATTTTCATGTATCCACTGGCCATTTGGATACCTTCTTCTGTGAAACGCCTGTTCAAGTCTCTTGGCCATTTTTGCTTTCCTTTGGATTGCCTCTTTTTTCTTACTGATTTGTGGTTGTTTACATATTCTGGAGCCCTTCTTGTGTTACAAATTTCTTCTTCTACTCTGAGGCATGCCTTTTTACCTTCTTAAGTAGTGTTCTTTAATAAGTTCCTAATTTTAATATAGCCCAATTTATCAATATTTTCCTTTCTGGTTACTGAAATTTGAGAACTGTTTAAGAAATCCTTTCCTACTCCAAGGCTGTGAAGCTACTCTTTTGAGTTGCCTTTTAGAACTGCATTACTCAATATGGTAGTCACCAGCCACAGGTGGCCACTGAGCACTTGAAATGCAGCTAGTCTGAATCGAGTTGGGCTGTGAACACAAAATAAACTGAATTTCAAGGATTTAATATGAAAAAAAGAATGTAAAGTATCTCATTAATACCATATTTCATACTGATTATGAAGGGACCAACAAACAATCAGAATGGCATTGTAGGGGAGGAAGACATTTCCTCTATCCAATGTGGGTTCATCTGGCCGGAGAACGAATTAAATTCACATGAGACAGAATAGCAAGAGAAAATTAAACAAAGATTTATGAGGAACCACGGCCCGGGGGCTTTCTTCCCGAAGGAAGAAAGGGCACTGAAGAAGTGGGGTACACAGAGTGGTTATATACCCCCAAACAGGGTGTTTCACATATGATTGAAATGTCCCTCCCACAATAGTCACAAGATTGCTCTGTCGGCACAGTGCTTGACGGACACAGCAGGTAGTGGTCTGCTATCTCAGAGGGCGAACCCGGAGGCAAATCTATTGTCTTGAGTTGGGCAGTCACAGGTGAGCGCAGCAATCAGTTCCTAGCCTAAGGAAAGATGCTTAATCCTCAAAGAAATGCCACTGTTGGGAGGGGGAGGGAAGTCAGTTACAGGAGGTTACCAGACAAGCACAATAAAATGCAGATTTAAGTCCTTGCCTTTGGCATTGATTAAGAGTTTCTAGAGAGAGAAGGTCATCTCCCCTTCCTGGTACAGAGAGAGAGATATCTTTACAGATGGAGAGTTCCTTTACAATGTAAATGTCTCCTAACAAAGGGTAAGTAAATTCTACTTTTCAGTTGTTTTCCTGTCTGCACAGTAACTAGCCTCAAATAATCACGCCAAACAGACATATGTTGGGGTGGCCAATTCCAGAGCCCTACAGCATAAAGACTACTTTAACCTGAAAACATTTGGACAAATAGCAGATGCAGAAAGAACTCTTATCTGAGCTTCCCTTATGTGACCAAAGCAGAGCTTTTCAAGGGTTAGCTGCTACAAACTCCCAACTCTGCAAAAGTGTCCAGTCAGGAAGGCGAATGACCTTTAGCAAGTGGACATTCCAAGAAATTGTGTAAATAAGCCTTATCAGAACCCTTCAGCCTTTCCCACTGAAGCCCTAATTGCTCCCCTCACCCCCACCCCCTCATTAAGCCGATATATAAACCCCTACCCTTGGCTGTTCAGAGAGCCACTCCTTATAGAATGCTTCTACCTGCATGAGTAATAGACCTTTTCTCCTGTTAATCTATTGTCAGTTAATTCACAGCTCCCCATCCCCAACACTTGAACCTAAGCTGATAGACAGAAAGTTTTCCTCCCAAGGATTACATGTTGAAATGATAATATTCTGGATATACTGGGTCAAATAGAATATATTGTTAAAATTAAAATCACCTATTTTTAAATTTTTAAACGTGGTTACTAGAAAATTTTAAACTACATATGTGGCTCACATTCTATTTCAATTGGACAGCAGCTCTAGATGATGTTTTTTTCCACCAGATGTGATTCCTTTGCTTCTGGCAGGCAACTAGGGTAGGGTCAGAGGGCCATCAGTGATTAGGATGAATCACAACAAATGTGTCTTGAATCTTCCAGACAGCAGGTTTATTTCTGGGTAACTCTTACTGAAGCCTTTGGGGCTTACTATTTCTCCTTCTCTCTTCATAGGTCCTGAATTCCAGTTTTTGTTCCCTAAGCCCACGAGGCTATTGAAGGCCATGTTTGGCTCCACAGCCTCTCAGCTGCTACTTTCTGAAGTGGAACTTTTTCTGAGAAAAGTGGCAGAACGTGCAGGCTCCCTCTCCTGGCTTCCTTTCTCTTCTGGAGCAAGGCCTGGTAAATTCTCACTACCTTGGAAGTTCTCCAACGGCTTCAATCAGATGATTCTCATATTTTGTATGGCTTTTCTGGTTGTTCTCAGAGGGAAGTTCAGTGTGAAACAACCAAGTCTGCTATTGCCAGAGGCAGAACTCGTAACAATTAATTAAAAAATATATCATGCCTGTCATTTAATGTTGTAGGATTTCAGTCATGGTTGATGTGGAGAACTGAGTCAGGGTTGTGGAGAAGGGGCAGTCCTAATCTCACTTCAGTCAACGAAGGTTTTACAGAGGAGGCGGGGGATGACTTTTAGAGTAGCAGATATTAGCAAGGTGATAATTCCAGGGTTAGGGAGTGTCATGTAGGGCTAGGAATAGAGTCTATCTGATAACCCAGAGGACTAAATGAATAGTGGAAATTCTAACTCAAAGAAGATAAATGGATTATAAATCACATGCTAATTCTGATTGGTAGTATTGCCTGGAGTACCTTATTGAGAAGGATTTTAAATTTACAGTGAGGCTCAGCGGGCAAGAGGATTGTGATCCACTAGCAGTGTCTGCCATGGACAAAGGATGGGGGATAGCTGCACATGAGTGTGAAACATACATCAGAGATCATGCGCTGGTGATTGAATTATCATGCATCAAAAGTATGACAGCACTGGACTTTGTAAATTAAAATAATTTAGATTCATCATGTAGGGGTTCTGAATATGCTGCTTCGGCACACTGATTATTTTGAGCTGAAGACACTTGAGAAAGAGCAGATTCGGGAAGGGCTCTCTGATATTCCCCTTTCTACTTTAAAGCAAGACATAAAATTTCCTGTGAGGAAGGTGCCTGGTACAGGGTATGACTCTTAATCATCAGAGGCTCTCATCAGCCCAGAGACAGCACTGAGAAGAATCTACATAACAAACCTCACCAAAACAACCCTCTCTTCCATTAGTTTCCCCATAAATTTACTCTCCCACAGTCTGCCACCCCTAAAGCCTAAATCCCTTTTCCTTTGTCTTGTCACTTTCCTACGAATTTACTGTTCTGTGTTAAGATGCTATAGAAGCCTCGAGTTCTAACCAACCCTTTGAGTTACTCATCACTGAGTTTCTCCCTTGTGTATGTGTGCTACACACATAAATAAAATTTGTATGCTTTACTCTTGTTAATCTGCCTGTTACAGTTTAATTTTCAGGGCCTAGGTGCAGAACCTAGGAAGGCAGACAAAAAAAGTTTTTCCTCCCCTAAAATCATATCACTCTAAATTGCTGTAGATCAGTATTAACATGGTGAAAGATTTTTAATGGAGGACCAAAGGGCTTTACATTCAGCTCTGATCTATTTAAGGTTGCAGTAAATGTCCTGTGAGCACAGTGAGCATGCTTTTCAAACTTATGGAAGACACTGGGCTGAGAGAGAGAGTAGGCTGGATGACAGCACTGAGATTCAGAATGATCTCGATAGTCAAGAAAATTGGTTCAGACACCAATATTTATTCCCCAAGTATTTATCAAGATCCAGTTTTGTGTCAGGTCCTGGCATGAAATGCAGTGGTGAGCAAAAACAGAGTTCCCACCCTCTTAGAGCTTACAGAAGGGTGAGCCCAACATCAATCAGATAACCACACAAAAATGTATAAGTGACGTGAAGTTAAATGGTGCTATGAGAGCACATGGATAGGAACTCGAGGGCTCCCTAGGGGAAGTGATGCTTGAGAGGAAATCTCATGCATGAACAGGTATTAACCAGGCAAAATGAGAGCAAGGTAGGGGAAGAACATTCTAGGAACAGGGAACAAGGGGCAAAGGCCCTGAGGCTGGCAGGTTTGAGAAGAGGAAAGGAGGCCAGTGTGGCTAAAATGCAAATCTCCAGAGGGAAATGCTAGAAAATAAGGTTGGCCCAGCAGGCATGGGCCAAACCACTTAAGCTTTGCAAGCTACTGAAAGATTTTGGTCTTTATCCTATGAGCTATGGGAGGCCATTGATGTTTTAATACTGGTGTCTCACAGTCAGATCTGTGTTTACAAAGGGTTACTCTGGCTGCTCTGGAGGGAGTGGGTTGGATTGTGGTGAAGAAGCACATGTGGATGCAGGGAGACCACTTAGGAGGCTATAGCAATGGTCCAGGGGAAAGATGGTGATAGTTTTAGGCAGCCAAAAGCCAAAGATAAATCATTAATGGAAAATAGGTACTAAAAAAATCAGTGTGATTCAAGCTACACTAATATACACAATGTCCTGGTCAATGGTCTAACTGTAGTCCAAACTATTAGATTATTTTGTTCAAATTAGAGAACCTCAATTTGATAAACTCAAAGATGTCCAAAGGAAGGTGATTAGGACTGTGCCAGGACCGGGAATGGCAAAGTGGACTTGAGGCTGGAGAAGTAAGAGACCTGAGGAGAAAATGGAACAACCAAACAGCAATATTCAAAAATTTTAAGGGGTATTATGTGAAAGAGTGATGATTCACATTGTTACTCTGGAAAGAGAACTAGGATCAGTGGGGAGAAGTTATAGAGAAGCCTATGTCAGCTCAGTATAAGGAATGCTCAATAATGGAGTGGACTGCCTGATGCCACACTGAGCCTTCTTCCCTGGCAAAGATGTGCAGAAGTTATCTCTATAATCTCTTCAGACTCTCCAGGATTCTCTGATTCCTTCAAAGTGTGATCTGTTTTTTTAAACTTTATTCCTAATATCCCTATTAAATTCCTATCATCACTACCATTACTTTCTAGCACTTAATGAAAATACATATGCCAGGCCCTGTGCAAAACTCTTTACATGCAATATCTCATTTAATCCTTACAATAACACTACAGGGTAGGTAATGAAATACAATCCCTATTTTTTAGATAACTTAAGTGATGCTTAGAGAGGTAAAATAATTTTACAAGGATGCAAATCTGGCATTTTGATTCCAGAGACCATGCTTTTAACCAGTGCAGTATATCACATCCTAAAACCACATATTCTGCTGTATGCCAATGAAGTGCAAACTGAGCTCAACAATTTTAACCAATTTCTAAACCTCCAAATATGAAAGTATATGAAATGTCATATTTCCAATGACAAAAGATATTCAATGTCATAGCTAGTAACTGTGTCAGTCAGAATATGTCTAGGCTATGCTTGGTAACAAACAACCCTCAAATCTCAGTAGCTTAAAAACAACAAAGGTTTATTTCTTGCTCATGTTAAATGTCCATAAGAGGTGAGCATGGGAATTCTGTTTATCATAGTCATTCAGTGACTAGACTGACAGAATGTTTCTGCTTAGTGTCAGAGGGAAAAAGAATTCTGGAAGGTTTTACATGTACAATTAAATGCTCCAGCCAAGCAACAGTGTAGGCAATTTTGCTCACAATCATTGGCTGTAACTAGTTAGGCTAATTGGCTCCACCCAACTTCTAAGCAGACTCAGAAATACAGTCCAACAATGTGCTTAGAATCGGGAGAGTCAGGAATATTTGGCAAATCGTATGAGTAACTACTGCAGATGATAAATATGCAAGGAAGCCAGAAAACATGCAAACAACGTTGCTGCATACAATTCAGAATTTCTACCAAAAAGAATATTGACTATCTCTTTACATTAGCTTGTTTACTTCCCCTAAGTTGACAGTATTAATATATTAGAAGAGGAGAAATGTACAAAACATGATGAATCTGGTAAAAGTCTTCACTGTATATGTAAAACATAATTTGAACCATAATCACATCTAGGATTCAAGCCCTGGGCATGCCATATTAGTATATTTATTTGCACTTGGGTTAGATAGCAGTGTTTAGACAAAAAATGTAATATTTTTCTCCCTTACAAGTTTCATTGTACCTAATTATGTAAAGCCATCACTGGTGAGCTGAGAGAAGATAATATGAAACAACTCAAGCCTTACATTAGGTTTTGAATATTAAGATGTTAGAATATAAACCATTTAAATGCATTACAGAAATTTTATTCTGAAAATTCTTGGCAATGCCAGTCCATCATTGTCGCATTAACTAAAAGTGAGCTATTCAAATCCCAATTTTATTTATAGAAAAATGTAAACCTCTTAAAAAGTTTTGCTTTCTGATAAATATTTGTAATAATATAAAATGAAACAAGTAATTTATCTTATTTCTTGCTATGACTCAGAGCACTCAATTCAAATTTGAACTACTTTTATTCACTATCTGTGGGAAAATATAGTGGTTTTATTCGTAAGTACTCCATGATCTCCACTACAAAACTAAAACCCTGCAATGAAAATAGGAAGACAAATCAGTGGCGTCTATGAAGCAGTTCACTGGAAATGGCTGTTGGAAGATGATAATTTCTTGTTGTTTAAGTGATTTAAATGCCCAAAGAAAAAGTACATGTAGTGTTAGTGTGCTTAAAACATAATTAAAATTTGTATTCCAAATGCCAGTTTAGGAAAGAACTGATTTTATAAGCCAATGATATTTCCTGTAGGGTCATTGCTGTAGCATTTTAGATGGTACCTTTTTCTAATTGGAAAGCTACATATTTTAATAGAGAATGGTCCAAATGTTTTTAAGGTCAAATTGGAAATATGTTGATGATTTAAAAACTCAAGCAAAGTGCTTTATTATATTATCCTACCAGAGTGTTATTGTAGTTCAAAAATATCATTAAATCAGCACAAACCCACACTTATCATTTCCCACACATTTTTTACGCGGAGCTGCCTTCTGACTATGAGTAATCTGTTAATCTGCTCTTCGCCTCACAATCCGTCAAAGTGACAGATTAATTCCTTCTCTAATACATAATATCTTCATTTACTGATGCTTTGCTGCAACTTCCTTTTTTGCTGGCACTGAAATTTAGAACATCACAAGCAAATTCAGAGACCGTCACCTGGCGGTTGGTGGTTGTTCTTGTTTGTTTCCATTTCCTCTATTATTCCAGGAGGAGAAACCAAAACTTTTCTGGACTCTTAACGTGAGTTAATAGCGTTTCCAAAATGAAGGCAATTTCAGGTTTCAATAAAAGTGTTGTTAAAGAGGTTGGAAGAGGACAAATGGTAAAACACAACGTAAGTGCACTGTTCACAAGTCAAAATACTGACCATGATGGAATTTTCTTCCAAAGCTAATGGCCAACACATGGATTCTCACCCTCACCTCCATCCCAAGCTATAAAGAAAAAGATATTAAAAAAAAAGAGAGAAAAATCCTGCTGGATTTTTAGGGATGAATTGCCCCCTACAAAAGACAGGGCTTCATTAGCATAAATACCACTGCTTAACTGAAAGCCACAATGTGATTTTATTTAAGCTGAGACCTTCATTTTTAGCATGATGTTGACTGACCTCAGGTTTCTTGTTCACTGCTATTTTGGTAATACAAACGGTTCTGCTGTTTAAAAATTGCTCGCTGTTCATTCAACAGAAGATACTCTCCCCTCTGCTCCTTTCTTGTTTTGATTCAGTTGCTTACTAGTCTATAAGTTCTGCAAATAAAGAGAATCAAGGACTAAAAAATATGAGACTACGTAAAATTCTAGCTAGTTTTCTTTCATCTTAAATAAGAGATAAAGTACCTCATCTACAGATCACCATTTGGCTTCACTTGTTACTGATCCAGTGTTCACATAATAAAACAAAGGTCACTATTGTTAACCTCAAGTGTCAAAAGCAAAGAAGTTTACAGCAAAATATGAGAAGCTGCCTTCTAACAGTCTTGTTTCTGCACATATATAATTTCTTTCCATCCATACACTCAACACTCAACAGCGTTTTCTTGTCCTGAGCACCAAATTGCATCTGATTTGTCTTAATGGATGGCAAGGGAGCTAAAGGCTTTTAAAAATCAATGGACAAGAAAGAGTCAATAGAACAATAATGTTAGTGTTAATTCAATCAAATCAGCTAAAAGTTGTTTGCCTTTTCTCCTTCAAGTCATTTTAAACAGGCTGGACGTTTCAGTTGTATGGTATTTATTATACTGAGTGGGTTTTTATGTGGTAATGAACAGCCTAATATGAAGCTGTAAACTCTGGTAAACATAATACTGTATATTGCTAGAGTGAAAAATTACGTGTTTTAACTTTAATCAATTTCAAAATGTAATGTTTGTCATTAACAAGAGAATCACAGGGAAGAACAAAAACTAACTGCATACAAAAGCAGAGTCTGTGAGTGGGCACTGGTTTGGAAAGGCTGCAGTTTCTCCGTGCCAGGCTTGCTCCCTGCTCTCACGCCCCTCGGCACCTTCCCTAAGACATTCACATGCTGCCCTGACAGGCAGCGTGGACTCACCTGTGCTGGGAGGCTGCAAACTCACCGAGAGCACGTTAAAGTCATCTCTCCACAGTGCTCTGTACATAGCATATGCTTCAAAAATACTCAATGAACATTGCTGAGGGTATGAACTGCAGTACAGTTTCAATCATTTCACGCTGCAGTGGTTCTTTGTTTAAACGACAAGGGAACCTATCCTGCATTAGGTTACAAAATGAAGGAGGACGCTGTGAGTCTACAGATGTGACTGGCTGTGGCCGTTTAACCATAAGCATGATCTTCCATGTCTTAGGTTCGTGTCATGATCCTTCACCTCAGCTTGCGCTCCCAGCCCTTCCCCTCAGACAGAATAGAGGGGAATGTTATAAACTGAAATTAGTACTTCAACTTTTTAAAGGTTCTCATTACCCTAGAAGGAAAAGCTGAATCTTTTAACTAAAAGTTGAAACTGTAACACTGAACAGTAAATAATCACTTTGGTAATTACCTTCTTTACACTGGACCCTGGGTCTAAGAATCTGAGCTCACCATCTGGATGGATAACAGTGACTGGGAGGCCTGGGTAAGCGCAGGAGCCGCACATTCTGCTGATTCAAAATGCTAAGATTCTTCCTGGATCCAACATTTTGGACATAGAAGCTTTGGAAGGTGGGGAAGATGTATCCTGTTGTTCTGAAACTCTCATGGAAATGGGTTTTATGAGTTTGTAATGCCAGAAAACGTGACAATAACCAAAATATGGATGAGTATTGCCCCAGCACTAACGGTTTAAGATTCTCTCATGGAGTGCAACTGAAAAAGTAGGAGACTCAGGTTGAAGTGCTATGTCCCAGTGACCCAAGAACAACCTGGTCAGAGAGCAGACAGACATCTCAACTGAGGAAACCGGAGAGTGACGTCAGCTGATGCTCAGGCAGGCAGGGCTGGAATGAACAAGTGAGGAGACCAAAGAAAAAGAAATATTGGTTAGGTGGCCAGCGGTGGCACCGAGACCTCTAGGGTGATGGCTAGTTAGGGCCTGGGACAAGGTAATTGGAGCAGGTGTGCAATCTGAGCAAACTGGCTCTGATAGAATAAGTGATCAGAACCAGGACTAAAAGTGGCCTGGACAGGCCAAATGCCATGAGCATTGCACTGCACTAAGGACCCCTCCAGGTGCAGAAGGGGCAAGTGGTCTCTTGAGTTTAAGATGGCACCAGCACCACAGGCTCAGGTCTTCTCTTCCCCTCGTACTCCCTGCCCCATATATACATATGCACATATATGTACACACACACACACACACTAATATTTGTGAGGTGAGATTCAATGAATTCAACACTTTTTTTTTTTTTGAGGAAGAATTGCCCTGAGCTAACATCTGCCACCAATCCTTCTCTTTTTGCTGAGGAAGACTGGCCCTGAGCTAATGTCCATACCCATCTTCCTCTACTTTTTATGTGGGACACCTGCCACAGCATGGCTTGATATGCGGTGCATATGTCTGCACCCGGGATCCAAACTGGCGAACCCTGGGCCGCCAAAGCACAATGTGCGAACTTAACTGCTGCACCACTGGGCCAGCCCCTAACACATAGTTCTTTAAAACATTCTGTTTTTTTTTAGTGAGGAGATTGGTCCTGAGCTAACGTCTGATGCCAATCTTCCTCTTTTTATTTTTCCTCCCAAAAGCCCCAGCACATAGTTGTATATCTTAGTTGTAAGTCAGTCCAGTTCCTCTATGTGGGATGCCGCGAGATCATGGCTTGATGAGCAACACATAGGTCCGTACTTAGGATCTAAACTGGCAAACCGTGGGCCGTCAAAGTGGAGCGCACAAACCCAACCACTTGGCCACAGGAGAGGCCCCAACACATATTTCTTGAGTGTTTCCTTTGTGCTTGTCACTGATTGAGGAGCTAGGAATACAGCTGGCAAGAGAGATAAAGTCCCAATACTCATGTAGTTTACATTCTATCATATTCTGGAGGGGTGTGTGTGTAGACAATAAGCAAACAAGCAAGAAAATATCAGGAAGTGGGGAGTCCTGTGGTAAAAACAAAAAATATAATAAGGCTGACTGGGGTTATTTTAGTTGGATGCTAAGAAAGGGCTTCTCTAAGGAGATGACATTGAGATGGAGACCTGAATGACAGAGGAAGCTGCTATGTCCTTTCTAGGGTAAGGGAACTCCAGGCAGAGGGGCCATCTCATGCAAAGCTCTTAAGGCGGAACCAAGCCCGGAGTGTTTGAGAAAAAGAGAGAGGACCATGGTGTTTTATACACAGCGAGCAAGGTGCACAAGGGTATGAAACACAGTCTGAGAGGTGGGCATCTGGGGTGAGGAGTGCGATTTGATCCTATGAGCAGTAGGAAACCTCCGGGAGGTTTTACGTTGGGGAATGCCTGGGTCCCGTTTGGGTGTAACACCACCACTCTGGTTGCTGAGTGGAGAACAGACTGTAGAGGCCAAAGGAGCAGAGAAAGCAGGTAGGAAGCTCTGACATTTGTCCAGGTGAGAGATGATGGCACTTTGGGTGAGGACTGTAGCAGTGAAGAGAGAGCAGTGACTGGATCTGGCATATACTATGGTTGGAGGGAGCACCACACAACTTGCGGAGGCTGGACATGGGGTGGGTTAGAGAGAGAAAACAGAGATCACTCTTGGTTTCTGGCTTGAACAAAAGGGGGAGGATGGTGGCATTTTCTGAGATGGGGAAGACTGAAGAAAGAACAGATGTGTAGAGGAAGAGAAAACCAAGTTATGTCTTAAATGCTTACATTCGAGGTATGCGTTAGATATCCAAGTGGCTATCTTTCAAGTTGGCAGCTTGGATGGATGAGTCTGAAATTCACAGGAGGGCCAGGACTGGAACTAAAACTTTGAGAGTCATTGGAATAAAGAAGGCATTGGAAGCTATTATTATAGCTCATACAAATAATACATGTTATGTTATACATTAAAGATTAGGGCCATTCTAATGGTTACCAATGTCTATGGATCTCTGGGTTGGCAGGGAGTGAAATATGCATGGAAATTAGATTTAAACTCTGTCTAAACAAAAGCCTCTCATAAAACCTCAATTTTATCCTGGTTCTGAATAAAGCAATACCATTGACCTCCTATTTTCAGGAAAGGGAAGAGAAATTCTTGGAAAGATGTAGGAAATGATTTGAAATTTAACTGGTTAACATTCAGGGCGAAGCTTTTCATTTCTCCATGAAATGTATCTGGGCCTTCCTCCACCCTCCCTGCCTCAGCTCAAATGCTGATGGAGCTCCTACCCTCATCAGGCCTGTGCTGACCACCTCAGGGAGGAGAGAGAGGACACCACCGTGCCCTCCAGGGACTAGGAGAACTGAAGGGTCTTCAGTCAGGACCTGGAACCAGACTCAAGGGAAAATCACTTCCATCAAAGGAGCAGGTACGAATTTGTGGGATGCGACTGTGAAATGAGAGGCACCCACATCGACAGCTTTTCCTAGTTAAAGCTAATGAGAGAAACGATGAGAGCAAAAATTGATGCCTTTGGTTTTATAAACAAATCATTAAGATTTAATGCAAAAATATAGATAATAGAAAACAACAATAATACTACATTTAGAGAAACTAATTGTTTGCATTGTTAATCAGGAAATCCTCTGTTGTGCTTTGGTCTGAAGGAGGAATAAAAATCCAACTTACTTGTTTTAAAATGATTCAGATTTAAACATTTGAAAAGGAAAATGACATATAAGTTCCATATTTAATTTTATTTATTTAAACATTTTCTCTCTTTTGTCTTGGGGGGAAAGCTTAAGCAATAGAGGAGAAGCCCATCAGGCTGAGTCCCAACAAGTGGAAAGAAGAAAAATGAAGCCACTGTGATCAGGCCAGAGTAGTGTTTGTGGGTTACGATGACAGGCCAGCTTGCCTCAGTCAGGCCGGCTGAGCCAGCCAACGAGAAATGAGGTCGGTGGTTATTAATCATTTGTCAAAGTCTGCAGGGCTTTATCAGATAATTATAGTCATAAGTATGTTTATACCACACAAACATGTGGCAAAGCTGCAAAGCATTCAAGTCCCAACACAATCTGCAATGACATTTAAAAAAAACTACAGATAAGCGATAAGTCATACAGCAAACACTTTAGAAAACCATGCCATTCATTACTGATTGGGCATTCTAGAATTATTTTCTATACTGTTTATTTCCATAAACATTTAGAACTGTACAGAGCCTTTGACTACATTCCCTCCTCCCCTCAATTTTCCAATGAGTTGTAAAAATAGCAAGTATAATGATCCTTTGAAACGAAAGACTGGCTATCGGCTCCATCCATATAAACAGACAACCAGAACGTAATCACAGTTTATTTTTACAAAACCCACTCCTGAGCAAAAATATCTTGAGCTGTTCTGAAGAATCTCCATAAATACATAAATAGATGTGCCTAAGGGACAGCTCTAAACCCCACAAACCAGTAGATGGCACTTTAAAATAAACAACTTAAGGTTGCAAACAGCATCCATTTTGCTCTGTTGGCAGCATGTAAGTTTACATACTAAGAAACACTTCTCAACATGAATGAACTGTGAAATTGTTTCCTCCTACCCAACACTCCTCTAAATTGTATTTAGATTATGTTAGCCATTTCTGCACCTTGTCATAGAGGCTGTCAATGCCCCAAGAGGCGAAGTGGGTGACCACTGGAGGCAAGTGCCCCAGCATCTGAGATGCTGCCTAAACATCAGTCAGTATGTTAGGCAAAAATAATGGGAAACATCACACCCATGCCTAACAGTACAGGGCAAATGGCTTTGTTCCAAATCTAGACACGCACGGGAATATGATGAAGTGAACCATGTGTCTTTCAATTCCTAGATTGTAAACTTCTCAGGAAATGATTACCATTGTATCCTACCTCCAACTAATGTCACGCATTGCCCTATGAGTGCAAGTGAATTCTTTTACTTTTAGGAAAACAATATATGAATATATGCAGTGTTTTAGTTATTTTCATCCTAGAGCCAACTCTTCAAAACCCAAATTTGCCTGCTTTGTGGATTGCATACTATCTACTCTCTTTACCTTTAATCATAAACACATAAAACTAAGAAGATAGTTATGTTGCAGAAATAAAAATCTTTCCAGAACAAAATGTAAATGAAAGACTTTGGGGATATTGGTTGTTCTGTTACATTAATGAAGCTAATTGAAAGTTGACCCTTTAAATATGTATGTATGTGGGTATGAGCATATATAATTTTAAAATCCTAGGTTCTTAGGTCTCTGGAGTAGTTGCAGATATTTCACTGGAGCTAATGTGGCCATTTCACCTCCTAAAGGGCATTATCACGCTCTCTTCTGGGTGGACCGGCATACACACATATCCCCCATCCGCATCATATTTGCATTACTCTGATCACAACCACATTTAATTCAGGATATCAAGAGCCTACTTGCTTCTCTTGTACTGTTCAGAGCCCCTGTATGTCAAACTTTCAATCCAGGATTCAAGTTAGATACTTGCTTATCCAAAGGGATAGACTTAGAGACTCATCTTTTCATTTCATATACTTTTTTCATATGCATTATTGGCATCTTTTAACTTTATGTTATTCCTTTTTTTGTGAGGAAAATTGGCCCTGAGCTAACATCTGTGCCAGTCTTCCTCTATTTTATGTGGGATGCCGCCACAGTGTGGCTTGCCGAGTGGTGCTAGATCGACGCCCAGGATCCAAACCTGTGAATCCTGGGCCACCGAAGCGGAGCACGTGAACTTCACCACGATGCCACTGGGCCAGCCCCAGTATCTTTTAACTTTCAAGTTCTGTATTTTAGGGTCTAACACATACTATATATTTGTAAGAAATATAATAAACACAAACCTTAAGAAGACTCATAGCTTTCAGTTCTAAGTTAAATTACATGTATTACATGATTCAATTTATCCCATTTTTATATGATGATCTATGTTGACCTCATAATTTTATCATCTTCTTTATTTATGGCCCAGTAATGCCCTTCTGCCAATTCTCCAAGCTACTGGATTTACGAGCCAAGGGCCAAGCCACATAATCTGCAGGATTTCTCAACAGCTATATAATAATTTTTTAGGAAACTGGTGGATAACCTGCTGGCAAGTGGGATTGCTGGCATTTTATTTTTTGCTTTAGAATTTGGCTTTTTATTTTACTATGTAAAAATATAAGTTAATTTTTCCTAAATGAGTGAACATTTAATTGGTTAAATAAAATATGTTGTCCGTTTAGTTGGTGAATTTTCTTATATTCTATCTTTGGAAATCAAATTTTAAAAGAGATATTTAAAGCCACATATTACCACATCTAAATGTTAATTAATTAATTAATTATCTCATCCAATATCATGAGGCATGTTTTCCATATAGGGCAGTGTTCCCTCTGATAGTGGAACTGGTTTTCACATGTAAAATCTATAAAGAGTCTCCTCACTGTCACAGAGTCATAAAGCTGGAAGTGACCTCAGAGAGCATGTAACTCAATTCCTTTCCTTCACTCATGAGGGTGTTCATATTATAAGATGAGGTCTGGACAGGTTGACTGGCTTGTCTGAGATAATATACTGGGGTTAGTAGCAGAATTAGAAATGAGAATTAGGTCCTCTTTCTCGTTTTATTGAAACAAAAGGCTCCACTTGCTAACATATCTTACTATCACTTTCATTTGTTCAGACTACAAATCCTGACTTTGTTATAATTTGGACCAAAGTTGGATTTCCAGTTACCTTGAATGTTTACTCATATGTAGACAGAAATAGTTTGTTGGTTAAATCTAGATGAGCTGCAAGATTGCAAGAGACATATTCACATATCAAGAGATAACTGATTTTAGAAGTGTTAAAATACCTTTTTATATACACTGAAACTATAATCTTAATTTTGAACTCCTCATTATATCTATTTATGATAGTGATAAGTTCCCCTACTAGATAACACAAAAGAATGATCAGATCAAGTGTATAGACCAGGAACACTTAGAAGAGATTACTAATAAAGAACATATACTCTGCCTATGTCATGAATATTCTGGGATCCATTAAAAGTCCTATAAACCATGTAGGTGGTCTCTTGGCAGCCATGGCTAGTTTTATATGGCTTGTTTGGCTGTTCCTTACTGATTGGACCAGAAGTGAATACATGGCCCAAGCTAGGTCAATCACATTCTCTCTCCTGGAAAGAAGGAATTGGGATTCAGACACAACCTGTCAGCCTCGGCATGTACTTTGACTATAATATGTAAACCGAAGCTGTCAGACAGCCATATGTGATGTGACTGAGAGGCAGAGAAGGCTGATGCTTAGAGAGAATGGAGGAGATAGGAAGAAACAAACAGTGATGGAGTGAGGATACTGCCTGCCTGCCCTTGGGTTCCAGGATACAGCCCTGTATTATTATTTAACCAATCTCCCTGTCCCTCCCTCTGTGTGTCTCTCCCTCCCTGTCTCTGTCTCCCGCACTTTTAATAGTAGCTAAGTTGTTTTTCATATGTGCACCAAATAAGTCTTAATTCAGACACTGTGTAATAGGTATCATACTCCGGAGGCAGAGCTACAACGCTATCAGTGGTGTTTTGGTCCATCCATAGGACAACCCACAGTAGTACAGGTGAGAGAGCTTGATAATGAGATGCATTTGGATAATGAGATGCATTCCAATAACTAAGATCCTGTGGGTGGAGCTCAAGACAGACTGATTTTCAATAAATTCTTAGTATTTAATAAATAGTAATAAAGCAATCCTGATTTATACTGATAAACTAGTTTATTTAGCTATTTTTTAGAAAGCCATATAATACTACAGATATACTACTACATATATGTCAAAACTCAAATTCAAGATTTGCTTGTCTCTAATGAATCTAAAATAATACAAGTCTTCTATATTGACAAATGACTTATACGTCAATGACATTTTTGAAATAATTAAATAATTTTCAGATTATGAACTTTGAAATTATGAAAAAAGAGAGTGGACATTTGAACTCATATAAGCTATCCTGATAAATTTAAAGGCACCGGGTAACACAAAAAAGATTCATGCCTAAAATGTACTAAACATCAAATTATCTACTACAATGAAATATCTATGCAAATAGAATGTTACCGAATAAATTAACACTTAAAGAGAGCTTGCTATGTGCCAGGAACTGTGTTAAGAATTTTTCATGAATTAGTTCATATAATACTCCCCGAAATACTATGAGGTAACTATTTTGCCTAAATTACTCTGAGTTAAATGACTTGCTCAAAGTCCCACAGGCAGAGGTGTTATTGTTAAACCTACGTAGACTGTTAACCACTACACCATCGTCTAAGTAAGAAAAGTAGACTGAACTAGAATTTCTAAAGAAAAGAACTTTGGAAGCCCTTTGAAAGTTTTGAAAAACAATTTCATGAAACCAAGAAAAATGCATAATCTTCTAAATAATCTTTTTTTTTTTTTTTAAACATTTAGATTATTAGTGATCCTTACCGGGGGTTAGATGGAGAAGGTGGATTCATTTCTTTCTGATAGTGACGACCCTGATTGACAGGCTGTAAAAGACAAAACATTTGTGAGGTACTAATCAGCAAGATGCTCTTTACATATGCTCTCATGTGCACTCTCATTACCATAGTTTTTTCCTAAGAAAGAATCTGCAACAAGCGACTGGTTTATTTACAGAAGAGTCAAAGGCTGTTTAGGAGATCCAGCAAATAACAAAGTGGTAGATATGAGAACACACAGGTTATTTTAATGGCTAGTCACTGGACTAGATAGCACCTATGGTGTAATTAAAGTTCATGTGTGGAATCCTCGTCCTTGTAGAATTTTTATGCTGTTAACATTGGTTGATATTTCCAGATCCAGCAAAACAAAACAACTCATCTCATGGAATTAATGCTGCATAGCAAGTATCATCAATAATCCAGAGACCCAGAGATACAGAATATGTATTTATATTTCAATGTTAGTAAGTTTGCAAGGATAACTTCTTTTTTCATTAGTGGAATTACACATGTAAATCTTAGGTCAAAGTGGTCATTTTCCCCAACTGTATAACAAAACCTCAAGTATTAATTAATGAACCGAAAAAAGTGATGCCAATACCTAGCAAAAACGTGAAATCTCAATTATTTCCTCCACAAGAAACCTTTAAGTTACTGCCTATTTCAAAACATAGCTAAATACTACATCCGATGTAAGCCTTAAACCCTTGCCTCCAATGGAACTTGATGTTTTTTCTTTGTTCTATAAAGGGAGAAAATTCCATTATGTCCAACACAAATTCTCTTTGAAAACATCACCTCAAAGTATTTTTATTATATGGTTAACAATCATGTAATTCTAATATGAAAATCATTTTTAACATTCTCATTTTATTACAGGTTGAAATTTGGTATACATTTTTGAATTGCATTTAAAGGGCTTCAGTTACTTCCTTACCCAATGGGGTTGGTGTTCAGGTTTTGTCACCCATAATGTGGCCCCACAGTGCTCACCCCAATAGAGGAAAACAGTGTAGCAATGGTGCCTGCACATATAGAGCATGTGTTCCCTATTTTCCACATATTTTTTATTTTAATGGGTCCTAAAATATTAATGATGTGGGTGATGGGATTTTTTTTTTACAGTAAACAGTCTTCCTCTATAAATAATCTCTTGGAAGTGTTCCTTTAATTTAAATCAAACACCCTGTCTGATAATCACAGTCACTTAGCCCGACTCTCTGTGATGCACCGTGAATTTAAATGTACTGTACTCAGTTACTTTGGTAATTGAACCAATATCAATGCATCACCATTTCAGTAATAAGAAACTACAGCTGGGAGGACAGTGGAGGGAAAAACATGTCATAAGACATATTTGATCTCACTAGAGAAATAAGACGTTCAACAATCTGCAAGTGAAATTTAGTTCTATGATTTAGGCTTTATTATTTCACAGCAAAAAAGGAATTAGTAAGCAAAGGCCTAACAGGTTCTCTAGACCAATTCACACTGGTACAGAAATACTCTGGATAATACATTCACTGGTATTTGTCCAGTATTTCAGCTGGCCTCCAGTGAGTGGACTTCTCCTCTTTACTCTCAAAGGCACTTCCATAACTATCTAAGCATCACAGTGTTGATATTCAGCCAAATTTCCATTTTCTTAATTTTATACCATTAATTCTATTTACACTTGTCCTCAACAGCCTTATTTCAAATTATTTACTCCATCCTCTGGAGAATAAAAATGGTTACAGACTCCTATGTCATTTGTGACTCAGTTCTCACTTAGACTACACAGACTGACTATTTCCATGTTTGCTCATGTTTACATGAAACAGATCCAATGATATGAGGAGTAAAAGAGAACACAATCAATAAAAGACTCACATTCATAGTGATTTTTAAGTGTTAGAAAATAAAAAATAACCAGGGGAAACTTTTCGAAGTAGTAAGGACTGTTGACATGAATAGATAGACAGGTAAATAAAAAAATTCAGTTAAAATAATTGTATGATAATGGAACTTGGTCTGAATACCTGATTCCTTTACTTGATTTTTACTATTGAAAACTAATTACCAAGTTGTTACCCCAAATTATTCAATAACCAATTTAAATTTAATAATAACATGTCATGGCAGAGTATTCCAACTTAGACATGTAACTGCTATAAACTGACTTATAAATCCCAAATGCTAATGACTCAGTTGGGGAAGGACGCAAGTCTTGCTTTGGAGTGGATGACATAAAAATTGGGTGGCCCCAATTCCTCCTGTCTGTACACATCTCCCAATTTCATAATCAGACTCAGGGAGAGGAAGGGATTATGGCAATGACGCAGCTAAAAGCTCCTTCAAGATATTTCAGTTCTCATAACTTGGCTTTGATGCTTTGAAAGGGCAGAGCTGTCACCTGGATGTGGTCTTTTCATTTTCCTAGGCCCAAATCAGAATGAGTGAGAATGTGCCTAATGTTTCTAAAAGCTCTCTGAACATGGTGAGGCACAGGTCGGAGGGACAAGATGGGCTGTCTGAAGCCAGATGTCCCCGTCCACAAATGGAAATAGATAGGTTTCCATATATATGCAGCAGTAAACCTATTTCTACTTTTCTAGGGAGGTAACATCCTGTGAAAGCACCAGTTAAAAAAATAAAATTGATTTTTTTGACTTTAGAATTCAACCATATTTAGAGAACAGTATAAGGAGAAGCAAAGGAAGAGCAACAGATACCTACAAATAGCTATGACTATAATAAAATAGCAGTAACTGATATTTATTGAGTGCTTACTCGGTATTAATTCCTTGATAGATATTATCTCATTTGATCCTCACAGTAATTCTATAAAATAGGTAGGATTAACAGTTCCATCTAACAGAAGAGGAAATTCAGACAATGGGTGTTAACCCAAGGTCCTGCCAGCCAGGAAACACTGGAGCCAGAATTTGAACCCAGGCAATCTGACTGCATGGTTTACCCCCTTAACCACTAGGTTGTAGTGCTTAATCCAGCTCAGGAGTTCACCTAGAACAGTGAACACCTAAGCTTTTGAATAACAAATATGACAAAATCAGTTCAGTTTATGGCAGGAAAAAAAAAGTGGTCCCAAAACACATTTATTTGAAATATATAAGACTATCTCCTTATCATAAATTAAATTCACTTGATTTCATCCTTATGGCATGTTGCTATATATTTAAAATTAAAGAAAATAAGTTTTGTCACACTGCTAAATTTAAGACAAACATGAGACACAATAGACACTACTCTGAGAAATGAGGAGTGTTTATTTCATGGGGTGACTTTCATAGTCACTAAACACAGAACAACTCCCACATTTCAGTATTTTCTCCTGACAGCATAGATATTACACTGACTCTAATATCAGTTTTCGTATATCATTTTGATGGTGATATAAGAATACCTGCTCATCTGATTTATCTGCAGCTTAACACAATCAACTACTTACCTTTTTAGTTCAGGAGAATTAAAAGAAAACTCATTACACCCAAAGAGAACTGAGGACTTAACGAATCTGTAGATCAGAACAAATTAAGACCTATCAACTATAAAGAGTCTGAAATGCCAACATATTATATATTGAACACACAATAACCAGCCATCGTCATGTGAAACGCTGATACGCCGATGAGAAAAGAAATGAAAGCTGGGACCTTGTCCTTTTGGTGGCGCTGTTGCTATGCACTAGCGTCAGAAAACCTGCACTCAGATACAGTTAACTACTGCCCAGCACAGGAAGCTTTGTTTTTCCACCATCAAGCCGCTAGAAATTTTTGGGTGAGGGAGAGAAGTGAAGGCTAGATAAAAGCACAGGAGATAAGATAATCCTGCCATGTTAAAAGGTAGAGACAACATTTTCATGTTGATATGTTAAACCCATGAAAATGGCAATAATGTTGCAAGGTTAATCAAGACCATAAATAACTTGTCTGAGAACCTCACCATATGCTTGTAATTTTATTAAGTGCGTTTTGCCTCGTTTTTCTCCAAATATTATGCTCTGCAACGTGCCAAGTTGATGAATGCATGTGATGAGCTTTTTATAAAAAAATAAGCTGAGGAGACTAATGTGCTTGATATTAGGTTATGGGCATCCTTAACTTGAAGGAATGATGGCTTTGGGGCGTCTGCTTACAGGGTAGCATGCACACGACACATGCTTTTCTTGAATCTAGTTAGATGCAGGACAGAAATAATGAAATATTGAAATAATGAAATAATGCAAGAGAGTTCATTTGTAAAGCTCTGAGGGGGTCAGTCTGGATTTTCATGGTTAAGCTCACATCAAAACAAGCACAACAGAACCTGTGCCCATCCTTATATACCTCAGTGGTCATAAAAAGGGAAAATGCCCTAGAAATCTTTTCTGATCACTCAAGTGGCCCTTTGAGGAGAGTAACTTTGGGGGAGCAGCAGATTACAGTGGGCACGAGCTTCCTCTGCTAGGCACGGGGCACATGCACTCCTTGCACTCATTCAATTCTCACCATGCCGATACGAGGAAGGCCCTTTGTTATTCCCTTTTTATAGGCGATCCTGTCAGTAAATAGCAGAGCTGGGATTGGAGCACAGGTAGTCTAATGTAGAGTCTGTATTCTTTTGATCATCACATGAAGCTGTTCCCCTTCATAACTATTCCTTTTCCTTAAAAAGAAACCACACACAGACACAAAAACACAGACACACACACAAACACATGCACACTCCAAGACATGGTTTTATGCTACTGTCAATCAAAATCCCTCACCAAAATAAAATTCACTTAAGAATCCATTATAACCAATTCCTAGCTCCCTTCCCAAGGCTGCCTAAAGCCCAGTTTTTGAATAAATCTCATGAGGGCTACTCCTAACAGACACCCTCCGAAATCGATTACTTGTAGCTTGGTTTCCACAGAAGTTGTAAAGTATTGTTTTAATTGAATTTGGTTCTAAGAAACTTTGAAAAATTTGTCTGTCAAAGGCCAATGGATTTCTCAGTAGGCTGTATTTCTTTAGCAAGAGATGCCTACAAAAGCCAATTTGTTATGAGAAAGATGGTTACATTTAATTACACTTTTAAATGACTAATTTATTATATCTAAACACCTTTTAAATGGTACATATTACTCTGAACTGTACAGATGCTAGGAAAGCTGAGGAATCAAAGCTTGTAGTAAACACAATAGATTTTGGTAAAGACTCTTCATTTTACTCTGCATAAGCTTTCTGGTTTCAGACTGCAATGTGTGTGGAGTCATTAGGTAAAGATGCTAAACTGAATGTGACCTGCCTAACTCTCCTTTCTCAGCTATTGGTCATCCAGCCCTGCCCAGAGAGAGATTTTTTCCTTTGTGTGCATATTTAATAATATCAATTTATCAAATCTTGAATGTAAAATATTACCTGCATCATTCAGGATGTATTTAAGCAAAGCAAAACTGATTTTATTTTGAAATTTTGATGAAAACTACCTTTAGAGTAAAAAAGGAATCTTTTAATATTATTGATTGATTCGTTCAACCAACAATTAACAACCAGCAGTGACTGAGTGTGCCTCGGTCTGTGCTCGGCCAGGTTCTGTGCTTGGCATGGTCCTGCCTTCAAGGAGCTCACAACCAGGCCTGGGGGATATTGGTAACAATGGCTACCTGATGTGGTCAGTGCTATCACTGAGCCTGAAGAAAATGGGAACCCAAACAAGGAAGTAGATAATTCTGTGCGGGGTAGCTGAGGGTCAGAGAGACCCTCTGTCATGAAGCAGTGACATTTGAGCTGGGCCTTGGAAAACACAGAGTGTTCTAGGTAGAGAAGAAGGATGGAGGGTCTCCAGGCAGAGGAAAGACCATGATTGACATGATCTGGACAAAGGGCATAGCATTGATGGGCGGGCTCCACAGCGTAGCTAGAGTATGGAACAGTACTGTTATGTATGCTGGGTGGGGGGTGGGTAGTGATGGTGAGACAAGCAAAAACTTACTTCAAGTCCTGTTCAAAGTGATGGAGAAACAAAGGCACTAAGAGGAGGTTATCCTGTAAAAGGAGAGACTCCTCCCTCACCTCCATAGACTTAATTCTGTTCCTTTTCAGAGCTTGGAATTCCTTTCCCCCTCTTCCTACCTGGTGAGCTCGCACTCATTCTTGATCTCTGGCTTAGCTGTAGCCTTCCTGTGAAAGCATCCCTGAAACCAACAGGTAGAATTAATAGCTCCCTCTCACGCGTTCTCATAATTCTTTGTTCTATCATCACTTACTACCCTGACTTACAGTGAGCTATTTACTCTCTGCTTCCCTCCAATATTGTGAACATCTCAAGGCTGGATAAAGCCTTATTTGTATCCCCAGCATAGTCCACAGCATATTGTACCACTCAAAAGAATGTGTGGAATGAATTAATGTGAGACAGACAAGCTACGTTGTGGTGAGAGTTATCATAGAGGTACTCCTGACTCTAGTGTCAGAAAGAAAGGTATGTCTCTCACAATGAGGCTGGGAGAAGGACTACAGAAGGCTTTGAGGGATAATCAGATACAAGGTACAAGGATATGTGCGGAGTGCATTTAGGGAGTTACAACTGGGACTAAAGCATGGAGTAAAAGGAGGGGAGCAGTGAGAGATGAGACTGGTGAGGGAAGCAGGTCTCAGATCATGGGGGCCCTGTATGCCAAACTAAAGAGGCAACGGGAGATATGGAAAGGCTCTACATAGGGAAGAGAGAAGATCTGGGCTTTAGAAATATCACTGTAAATAATAATGGTAATAATAATGACTACTCAATTTATTAAATGCTTATTATGTCTCAGATACAATGCTAAGTGCGTTACATCACAACTTGGATCTGAACCTTGGCAATCTGACTTTAGAGCAGATGCTCCTAAGCATCAGGCTATGGTGCTTAGACTGGCGGTACAGAGGTATTAGGAGATTACTGAAGGAATTCAGATGAAAAATAAAGTGCCAATGCTATGGTATTAGGTAGGTAGGGTTAAGAGGTAAAAAGGAGAGAGGGTTCGCAGGATTTGGAGATCAACTGGGTATGGAATGGAGCAGTGGGAGGAGTGGAGATGTATTCCGGATTTCTTCTTTGAATGCCAGTGTAGATGGTGCCACCACTGAGATACAAGAAAAGCAGGATATCATTGTGATAAAGTTATGAGTTCTTTCATTTCTTCTTTTTCATTGTCCCTATATAACTTATAAAGAGAAAGGCATGAGCTCTCAGAAACACCACAATGATTCTTGTAAATTGCTCTATTTAAACTCTATATGAGCAACAAGATGCAGAGTTCATTAAGGAATGCAATTTTCCATTTGGTGATAGTTCCAATATTGAAATAGACCGAATTTGATGCAATAATAAACATATTTTATGAATACCAAAGGTAGGCTTTTCAATTATTTTCTCTGTCTAAAAAATACACTGTTTTCAATTTCTCATTTGGTCAAATAGAGGGGTTATTAAGTTCATTACCAATGGTGTTATTTTTGGCTGTATACTTTTAGAGCAGAGTAGTTGTCATGCATGAGGACTTCAGTCCTTGCCAGAACAGGACAGTGATGAGAACACGGTAACCAGGGCAACCAAGAGTTCAGCCTTTTCAGTCCATAAGTAATCATTCCTCAGCTTGCCCTTTGCAGTGTTGGTCTCTGAGCTACTTCATGACAGAATGAGCTCGTTCAGGAGGCCACTGTTCTCTTTCTTACTTTCGGTTTAAACGACTGCTGAGGTATATTTTATAAGAAAGGCAATGCTTCAATTCCATTGTAAATTGCTTTGGCAAAAATCTGCAACTTACTCTTATGTTCTTAGATCTGGCTACAAGGGTAATCTGAGTAACCAGCACACAGGGGTATCTTTGCTGAGTGGGTAGGTACTCTTTGGCACCAAGGCTGCTTGAGTTATTACTCATACTTGATCATTCAGTTTAATGAAAGCACAACTAAGGCAAGAGAAACCTGGAGGTTGGGCAAGGGGAGGATAAAGAACACTAATGAAAAATTAACTTCATTTTCCTTCTGCATTTCCTTAGAGCCAATGTGAATTCCTCCTCCATGAAGACTTGTAAGTTCTCTCTAGAGCAGAAATCTCACCTTCTGCTGGATATGGGTAGCACTCATTTGACGCTTAGGTCTCATATCGAGAAGTCACCACATCATGGTGGTAAGCAGCCCAGACTCAGGGGTGATGCCAAACTAGTTCTGAATCACTTTACTTTTTGACAAGAGCCTCAATTTTCTCATCTGGAAATGGGAACTCAGTAGTGCTTACCACACAGGATAGCAGTAAGGAGTAAATCAGATAACACACATAAGGTGTAGTGCCAGGGCCTCAGAGATTTCTAAGATCTACAGAAGTATTAGAGACCTGGAAAAAAATGGACTTTAAAAATACAAAAAGAAAATTGCAAAATTAATAAATATTTAATTAAATACTTTAAAACACAAGTTGTTTCCTGTCAACTACACTTGAACTCAAGCTTTACATAATTTTATACAAACATGAATCAAAGTTACACAATTTTATAGTTCTTTTCAAAAACTGTATAGTAAAAAAGTCATATTTACTATTGGATGAAAGTGTATTTTAATATTTGATCTGATGTTGAATGTGGCCTTATGAGTAAATGTTCCTTGGGCCTATGGAAATCTTAAAATGTCTCTAGGCTTAAAGAAATGGTAGCTCTGATTACCATTATTATAATAATGATTTTATTACTCTGGCTCACGACATTTCTTGTGCTGTACAGGACTGTGGTTTCCATGTTTCTGCTTTGTCTTTCCAGCTAAGCCATAAGATCCTTGAGGACAGTATTGTGGAGAACGGACTGAATCAAAACAGTGGGCTCTGCTCTGGGCTCCACCATTGACCACGTGTGGAAGCTTGGGCCTAAGATTTAGTTTCTTCACCTGAAAAACAGGAAGACCTTGATCTGCTCCAACTCCTCTGCCAGTCCATAGGGAGGATGAAGAGTCATATTTAAAAGTGCTTTAACTGTATAAACAGCTGGGACAATAGGAGCCACTGAAGCACCTGCAGCATCTATCATGGTCCGTAGACACAGGGAGGAGTCAGTAAACATCTGGTTACTTCCACAGAAGGTTCTTTTCTGCCCTCATATCTAAACAATACTTACTATATCTATATTCTCTTCCTTTTTGTTCATTCATTTAACAAATATTTATTTAGCAAATATTGACCCCTTTCTATGTGCCAGGGCTTGTGCTAGGAGCTGGGGATGCAACGGGACACCCATAGTCTACAGTACAATTATTCTTTTTTCTTTCAATGTATGGTTTTATGTATCATCACGTAATTAACATACATTATCTGAAGGCAAATATGACAATTTAAGAAAAGACAATGCCCCCAGACCTAAAGCGCTATTTCAAAGTGGGCTCTGAATATTTCTCATGGGGAGTGTTTTCACTTTGGCCCTAGTTTTCCCAGGCCAGGCTGGGTTTTGTGAGAAAGAAGCCTGTTCCTCGTTAAGGCAATAAACAAAGATGCAAAGCCCTGGACTCACAGGCGGCAGGCAGGAGTTCCAGGTGGTTGTGTCATCACTGCTGGTACTTATGCTGACATTACAGTTGTCAACCTGGGATGCACTCAGGCCATGGGAAGCCCCAGTGTCCTCCAGTTCTTCATTCTGTTGCCGCCGTAGGCTTGCCAGCATTTGCAACTCGGATTCACTCATCTGGCTGGGCTGATAGTTTCTCCAGTCATATTCCTGACCAAGAGAGAATAAAGTGACAGATCAAAGGGTCACTTGGTCTTTCTTACTTTTATGAGCTACCAACAAATGTCACTCCACAGCCTTAACCCCTTCTACGGCTCACTAGAGACAGAGGCCCAGATCCTTGACACGCCTTTCCACAATGCCTACACTGCACCTGCCTCACCTTGTCTTTTAGCTCTGACACATCAGCCACACTGTCCTTCATTAAGCTCCTCAAAAGCATCAAACTCATGCCTGCCTCAGTGCCTGTGCACAGGCTGTTCCCCTGAGCCCCGTGTGCTGGCTAACTCCTACAGGTCCTTTAGGTCACAAATGACATGTCATTTCCTTAGGCAAGCCTTTTCTGATAACCACAAACTGGGTCAGCTCCTCCACAATCTGTGCTTTCATAGAATCTTAAAGTGTTCATTTTTAGCATTTATCACAGTTGCAGTTATGTAATTATTTTTGGAGTTCACAGGTAGTCTATGAGCTCTACAAAGCAAGCACCATGACTGTCTTACACCCATTGTATTGCCAATGTCTGGTGCTCAACCAGTACTTGAAGATAGACTAAATAAACAAAAATTCAAAGCAGGTTTTTTAAAAAGAAAAATCACTTTCCATAAAAAAGTCCAGTTTATGAGGGAATTGATGAATTTCATCATTCTGAACATTATGACCAAACACATTCAACTTACATTAAGATCGAGATGACTAATGCTGTTAAAAGCCATTACGTAAAAAGTGAATGTAAGATGGGAACATGTAAGGTCTGAAAGCCAGAAAGACCTTGCAGCTACAATAAACACTTAGAGGGATACGGACTTCACATTGAATCTGTCAGGCACATTTTTTTCCCTCAAGAATACTACCACAGAACTTTAGAGGCTAATATAAATATTCTTTCAATGTACAGGACAGAAATTGGCATATGGAATTTTTAAAACCTTTCCTTTCTCTCTGGCCCAAACCAAATCTGATAGTAAATGTTAATTTCAACGATGCTAAAATGCTAGCTTCTCATACGAGCAGTGTGATTTACACCCAGGATGTAATGTAATTATACGCCATCCAGGATGGCATATAATTTAAAAACAATTTTGAAGTTTTCTTGTACATTTGGAAACACTGATTGTGCTCAAAAAGTTTTTTTCTATGACAAAGAGAATGTTTTAGATATTCAAACCTCTACACTTACTTTCTCAGAGGACCCTCTGAAATAGCTACTGCCTTCTCTTGCCTCTTCTTTGCCTCGTAGGGATGTAAAAGGTTAAGACAATATAATTTTGAAAAAAAAAAACTATTGGTGTTCCTGTGACATTAAAAGCTTTTTAATAAAGCATTATCATCATCATAATTTGGGGGTTATGAAAGCTTGTGATCTAATAATGTGATGTGGAAGTTTTTTGGAAAGTTGCCTGTGGAAACTCACTTAAATTCTTACAGTTCATGGCTCCAGCAGCTTGGCACCCTGAGAGGCCATGCAATCGTGAATTGGAGATTTCATTAGTATTTAATATGCTTTGAGAGTTCTTGGGGCAAAAGAGATAAGAACAACAACATTTATATTCCAACAAAAAACATTAAAAAAAGGGAGAAAGAAATAATTTAAATTCAAAAGAAATAGTTGGGGGAAAAATAAACATGAGTAAAGATGCTCAATATCATTGTCAGAGAAATACAAATCAACAGCACAATGAGATACCGTTCAAACCCATTAGGATGGTTATAATACAAAAGACAGACAATAACGAGTGCTAGTGAGGATGTGGAGAAATTGGAATCCTCATACACTGCTGGAGGGAATGTAAAATGGTACAATCACTTTGGAAAAGTTTGGTGGCTCCTCAAAACATTATACGTAGGTTACTACGTGGCCTAGCAATTCACTCCTGGGTATATACCCAAGAGAACTGAAAACACATGTTCACAGAAAAACTTGCACACGAATGTTCATAGCATTAATGTTCATAGTCAAAAAGGGGAAACGACCAAAAGTCCCTCAACTGATGAAGGGGTATTTGTTTATCCATACAATGAAACAGGATTCAGCCATAAAGAGTAATGAAATACTTACACATGCTCAACATGGATGACCCTTGAAATCATGCTACGTGAAAGAAGTCAGAGACAAAAGATCACAGATTGTATGATTCCATTCATATGAAATGTCCAGAATAGGCAAATTCATAGAGACAGAAAGTAAATTAGTGGTTGCCAGCGAGTTGGGGGAGAGGGAATGGAAACTGACTGTTATTGTGTGTGGGCATTTGCAGTGATGCAAATGCTCTGAAATAAGTTCGTGGTGATGGTTACAGAATCTTGTGCATATACTAAAAACTCCTGAATTGTACATTTTAATAGGTTGAATTTTATGGTGTATGAATTATATCTCAATAAAAAAGGGAGTTCAGTAATCAGAAGTGAACAGGATCAGTCATCTGACTTTAGGTTCAACAGTGGACAAATGACTTCTGTCCTTCACTTCAGTTTTCTGTCAAGAAATGGAACCAAACATTCTAATGTGTCGCATAGACATGTTATTTCCCTTGTCACTGCCAATACATGCTTTTACAATGAAAAAGGAAATTTTATTTTCTTTTTCACAATTTTTCTTAAGAAGAAAGCTTTAATATGTACTTAGTATGACTGATTTATCCATTTAATTTATTAAATTAATCCACAGGCCTGTGCTGTGCCTGACGTACAACCCTAGGTGCTAGGACAGAAAAATAAGACAGAATGGGACAGTGGTTAAAGCCAGAGACATCTGAGTCTGGGCCCTTGTGTCACTATTTATCAGTTCTATGTAATTGGGCAAATTACCTTACCTCTCTGTGCCTCAGTTTCTTCATCTATAAAATAGGAACCATAGTACATACTTCATGGGATTTTTGTGGACTAAATGAAATAATATATATCAAATGCTTAGCATAGTACTTAACAAAGAGCTATACTAGGGGTCTCCAAACTTATTATTTGCACTTTTAGCAGAAAATGTTTGAGTATGTACCTCCCCAATATATGTTTATGTATAAACTAAACACATGTACAACTCTATTAAAATAGTATGGATAGCATTAAGCATACACCAAAAGAAAATAGAAATTAAAATGGCTGAGCTTTAAAAAATAAAAGGAAATAGTTTTAAAATTTTCTTCCTGAAGCTCAATGAATTGTCTTTGGTACACACCTCCTGGGGTGAGTACATCCCTCTTAGGAGACGACTGAGTTGGCAATCAGTATATACACTCTGTGTTGTTATTTATTCTCTCCTCTCATTTGCTCTGTCCCTCTCCATCCAGTGTTTCATCCATTCTGTACTATTCTAGGAGCTGGGACTATAAAGAAAATATGACTCATAGTCTAGAAAGGGAGACATAACAGGTATTATATAACAGGGTATTATAATGTACCATGTGATAAATACCACAAGAGAGGGATGACTAAGATACTTGAGGAATGCAACAGAAGCGACAAACTTCCCAGTAGAATTAGAGAAAGGCTCATAGAAGTCTAAGGTGCAATTTGACAGTAATTAAATTTGTTGACAACTGGATTGAGTGGCCTTCAGAGGGAGTGAACTCTTTCTACCACTGGCAGTACTAAAGCAGAGGCTGGGGAAATAACACCTGGGTGGACTACTGCAGTAATCTGCCGTGGTAATGGATGGATTGATTGATCCAATAATTTATTGCACAAATACTTACTGAGACCCTATTATGTGCCAGGAACTGTCAGTGCCAAGTATTCTTAGAACGTTGCATTTCCATGATTTTGCTTCATTCAACAGTAAAATGTATTCTGACAATACCCTGCAAGGGGCAGTCAAAAATAAGCAGAGAGAGGGAAGCGACTTTCTCCAGGGTCACGAATAGAGCAACTGGTGGTAGAGACAGGTAATTAACTTGATCCTGGGATATATTCTTGATTTGCAATCTCTTAAACCATTTCAAAATCACCAGAAAGGCTAAGTCATTAAGTTTTCTTTTTTTTAAAAGAAGGCTTGTAATAAAGTCTTCACATTAAAGTGGACTCCAGCACAAGATGTCATCTAACTAAATTATGCAACTGCTGAGAGGCAAAGTGCCTCATGTAATTCTATCTCTAAAAGTCTCAAAATGTTATGTATAACCCAATTTCATCTCTTTTATAGGAAAGAAGGGAGACATTATCAATCAGATTTGTTTTAGGAATGAGGTAATGGGCTCAAGTATACAATTCAGTTGTGCTCTGATTCCCAGGCAAGTCTTTGCTCACAAAGCCATTCAAGGCATTCATTTTCATTGATCTTTCTTCAGACATTATTGGGAGCCTATGACCACGAAGCTATAAAGACAAGTAAGATGTGGTCCCTTCTTTCACAGGCCTTACAATCTAGCAGGGCAATTAAAAGCTATAAAGAAATGAGTAAGGTGTCAGCCCTGGTGCTCTAGTGGTTAAGATTTGGTGCACTCGCAACTGTGGCCCAGGGTTCGCTTCCTGGTCAGGGAACCACACCACCCATCTGTTGGTTGTCATATCGTGGCGGCTGCGTGTTGCTGTGATGCTAAAAGCTATGCCACCAGTATTTCAAATACTAGCAGGGTCACCCATGGTGGACAGGTTTCATTGGAGCTTCCAGAATAAGACTAGGAAGAAGGACCTGGCCACTGCTTCCAAAAAATTGGCCATGAAAATCCTATGAATAGCAGCAGAGCATTGCCTGATGTAGCGCTGGAAGGTGAGAGGATGGTGCAAGAAGACCGGGCAGGGCTCTGTTCTGCTGTCCACAGGGTAGCTAGGAGTCAGAATCTACTTGAGGGCACTATCAACAATAACGACAAAAATAAGGCAGCATATATTGAGGTACAGTATTAATAATCACACAGAACCTTGATAATGATTGAAAGGAAAACTGTTCACTCCAGCAGAATGATAAAACACAACAAACAAAAATAACTTGATGCCCTTTGCCTAACCTCTTTTCCCAAAATTTTAAGACAGAATAGCTTAATCGATCAACCATC